ACACACACACACAAACAAACAAACAAAAAAGAGTGGATTACCTCTAAAGTACAAATAAATACACAAAACCAGAAAATGATTTGCGTCAGAATTTCTTTATTTTTTTTTCATAATAATAAATAAGTCAGAAGTCAGAAAGAGCTTTATTGCCAAGTGTGTTTGTGCACACAAGGAATTTGTTATAGTGTCACAAGCTTCCAGTACACGGAGACAACAACAACACACAGATAATAAAAAATAAGCTGGGAATAAAATACACATATGTATATATAAATAAACAAAAAATAGAAAAATAAATTAAAAAATTAAAAAATAGCTAAAAAAATGTAAAAGTCTTCAGAGACCAAAAAGATAATTGTGAAAAGGCTATACAAATACAAAAACGTTTATAGATATTAATACTAGACATTCAGCAAGCTGTGTACACAAACATGTTAAAGACTCCCTCCCTATATTTATGAAAGTCGAAGTCTAGTTTTAAAATTTTTAATATATGAAATAATAATTTAAAGTAATCTCCAATTTATTATGATTTCACACTTGATTTCGCCTCGTGTGACATAATTACAATAGTGAGATTAGAAAAAGGTTTGATTAGAATTTTTATTTCGTTTTATTATTCAGCTCACTCTTAAGTCATTTACATAAAATCGCGAGTTCTAGCAATGTTTGTCAGGTCATTTATGACTTTTAAATAGAGGTTAAATGTTTTCGGTAAAATTTCAGCCAAGTCCCGCCCCCTGTGTTATCCGTACAAACATCATTCATCGATGGGGGATGGTAGCAGCAGCTCCATGCTGAAATCTCATTGGCCTTCCTGAAATTCGAATCAACAACAGGCGTTCTGATTGGCTGATTCCGGCGCTCGGTTTGCCTCAAGCGTTGAACGCGGTTTATTGTTCCTCCGAGTCAAGAGGCGAAATAGATTTTACACAGACCTTTCCGGATCCCATTCAAAGTAATACTTCGCTGAAATGGTATGTAATTCGTAAATCTGTTTTCTATAACTGTAAATGCCTCTTCTTTTGTTGTAGTGCGTATTTGTCGTCTTTCTAGAGATTCTGCGCTAGCTTCGCGCTAACGCTGCTAGCTCGTGCTGCTAATAGCCTTTTTTGTAGTTGCTATGTATTTAATCTCGACGTATGTTGTGCTAATTTAAACGATTAGCCACCTATCGTGTTTATTTGAGGGGTTGTGTTGATATACGTCGCAGTTGTTGTGAGATTTCTCCGAGCAGGAGAGCTAAGCTAAGCTCTAGCCATCAGCGGCAGTGTGCAGCGGAGCAGTTCATATCAAGCTTATTCACTGTACAGCTCTTCAAAAACCACCGACTCCTGAGAATTGCGTTCTGTTTGTGTAGTTTGTGCAGGTTAATGTCAGAAGCGGATGGAGTATGTCGTAAGTTTAGCGTGGCGGTCATGTGAGCGGGAGATTTCGCTGCTTTATTCGACTCGGTGGCGTTCTGTGAAGCGGCGGATGGCATTGCTGCAAGTTTTTAGCTAAACTTTAATTCATTTGAGCAGGATCCTATTCCTAATGGATGCTTTAATCATACCCTCGGGGCGGGGAACGGTGCAGATTGCCAAGAGAAGTGGAGTATGTTCTCCAAACCTGCATTATTTGTCGTGGAGCTTAAATATACCCATAATTATTTGCATATGAGTAACGCACTAATAATAAATGTATTGATGATTTGCGCGACAGTTGGCACGCTCACCGCTAACAGTTACGTGTCTTTTTTGTTTTTTACACGTAAAAAAGTGTTTTGCTGTAAATGTACTGTATAAATGATGCAATAGTTTGAAATTTCGCGAAATCACAAGATATTACATGCATTTTTTTACATAAAAATGCAATGCCATATGTTTTGTAAATATATTAGTACGTATCAAAATTAAATTACGTGGTAAATTAAACATTAAGTATGTAATTGAATAATTTTATTCATAGTATAGATATAATTATGTAATATTTAATTTGTATGCCAGTTATATTGTTACATAATATGGAAAAATGTTACATTCTACAAATATTGTTACATATTATTTTACTAAATTTTATGCGATGTTTGTCTAATTTTTTGCATATGGGAAATTGTTGCACATTCTACATAAATATTAGTTATTTTTTTGCAGTTGCAGATTAGGTTTTTTTAATGCAATATTTAATCTTTATGTGAATTATATCGATACATATTTTTATATACTTTATAGAAAGATTGCATATTTTTTTATATTTAAAATGCATTCATATTTTTCAGTATACTTTAAATGTGTTTGCACAGCTAATATGCTGATGCAAATGACCATAATTGTCTGCTCATAATATAATGCTAATGAAGTGCTTCGTGCACTGAAATGCTTGAGTATGTCTGTGTGCATTGGATCAGAGTCTGTTGTGTTGTAGGCAGGAGGAAAGGCAGGTAAAGACAGTGGCAAGGCCAAGGCAAAAGCAGTGTCTCGCTCACAAAGGGCCGGACTTCAGGTGAGCGTCTGTTTTCGTGATTTGCTTAAATGTCCATTTGTTAAATATCCTTCAGTCAGATTTTTTTTAGGTTGCAAAGTCTAATAAACAATGTCAGGTGCTGCTTTCTAAGGGAATGCATATCTGAAATCTGTAGTTCCCAGTGGGCCGTATCCACCGGCACTTGAAGACCCGCACTACAAGCCATGGTCGTGTGGGAGCGACAGCAGCAGTCTACAGCGCAGCCATCCTGGAGTATCTCACAGCTGAAGTAAGGCTCGTTAGTGCTGATTTGTAGCGTCCCGCTAATTGTCTTTAATTCTTGTGCTATACAGTCAAACCAATTTATTCAGACACCTTCATTTCTCACATTATAGCAGTTTATTCGCTATCGTTTAGAAAATGGTAATATGACAAGAATTAAACTCATTCATCTTGATAATGTCAGATAACTTTGATAGAAAGGTATGTAATGTATTACAGTCCACCAAAAATTATTCAGCTGTTAAATTTAAGTACACAATTAGATAATACCAATTACCAAGCAATGCTTTTGGAAAAAAAAACTGATTTTGTTCAGCCTGTGAAAGACACTGAAGCAAAATATGCTCAGATTAATTTTTGGTCCCAAATTTTACTGGTAGTGCACTGTATGAAGAATTTTTGGGTGTGTCACAGTTCACTTTATTTTGCTATCCTCACTTACACACATGTGACCCTGGAGCACAAAAGCAGTCTTAAGTCGCTGGGGTATATTTGTAGCAATAGCCAACAATACATTGTATGGGTCACAATTATACATTTCTCTTTTATGCCAAAAATCATTAGGCTATTAAGTAAAGATCATGTTCCATGAAGATATTTTGTAAATGTCCTACCGTAAATATATCAAAACTTAATTTTTGATTAGTGATATGCATTGCTAAAAACTTAATTTGAACAACTTTAAAGATGATTTTATCAATATTTAATTTTTTTTGCACCCTCAGATTCCAGATTTTAAAATATTGTCCGATCCTAACAAACCATACTTCAATGGAAAGCTCATTGATGGCTGGTTTTGTGGTGCATGGTCACAAATGAAGTATAGGGTCCTGCACCCACTAGTAAAAAAATATCAAAAATGATATCTGGTGTCTGAATAATTTTTGCTTGGACTTTAGGTTTTGGAGTTGGCAGGAAACGCTTCAAAAGATCTGAAGGTGAAGCGTATCACCCCTCGCCATCTACAGCTGGCCATTCGTGGAGACGAGGAGCTGGACTCGCTCATCAAGGCCACCATCGCTGGTGGAGGTATGTTGGAGTTTAGTTTCTTTGTGCTGGTTGCAAACACACTGCCGTGTTGACAGATGAGGATGTGAAGCGCTGGTGTGTTTGCCGTCTTCTCGCAGGTGTGATTCCTCACATCCACAAGTCCCTGATCGGTAAGAAGGGCCAGCAGAAGACCGTGTAGTTCCCGCTGGGGTCGCTGTGGACATGGACTCAAGGACTTGCGTTTGGGATGTGACCAGA